GGACAGAGGATAAGAAAAAGCGCTCCACCCCGATATCGGAGTCCCACACCCCATCAAGCGCACAGAAGCCCTCACCTCACAGAGCTGCCCCTTCCCAGAAATGACAGGCCTTGGAACACACAAGGGGGCTGTGCCCCATCTACAGGCCCCACCCCCAAGGGATTGCTCAACATCTGGGCCCTGTCTAGACAGATGTTGGGCCTCTGCAGGAACATGAACAGCTGGTGTTCATTCACCTGGTCCCAGCCTCTCCTTGAGTAAAGGATCCTCTGCGGGTGCAGAGCCAGGGAGGGGGAAGGGAGGGTCAGAGAGGGAGGCCTGTCCCTTTGCAGGGCTGGGACTTGCTCGGCTCAAGACAAAAGATGGTGGCCTTGTGGGGGTTTGGGGGAGCACTGCCAATGACCTGGAGATGGCAGACACAGCCGAGGAGCGGGGGAGCTGCAAGGAGGTCAGACCCGAGAGCTTGCTCCAGCCTACAGCACGCTCCCCTGGCCCCTCGGTCGCCCTGGCCCCACGCACCTTCCACACAGTGCTCCACCTCCTCCAGGTTCCGCAGGGTGATCCGCATGAGGCTGGAGTTGAGCATCAGCTCGTTCTTGTGGGCTGGCCACAGGTACGGGGGTGCAGGGTTCACAAAGAAGATCCTGGTGTCCCCAGTGGACACCTGGTTGTCACAGATGAGGGGGTCTCCAAAGCCGCCAATCACCACCTTGTTGCCACCATCCATCAGGCTCTCCTGAGTCACCACGTCTTTGCCCTTCAAGTACCGCCAGACACGGACCTGGGGGAGAAGGGGGGGCAGGTCTCAGCGATCCACTCCCACGGGGAAGAGGAGGCCACAGAGACCGGAGGCAAACGGCAGCCTGGGGCGTCTGGGCCTTTTCCTCCAGGTCCGACTGACCCAGCCACCCCACTCCAATGTGCCCATGTCAGCTCGGCCGGATATGGGAGGGACCCCTGGCCTGGGCTGCCTGCCTCCCTGCCTTACTCTCCCATCCGCCCACCCCTCCTCTGGCCGGCCCTGGACGGAGCCCGAGCCGCTCACATGGATGACAGGCTTTCAGGGCGACAAGCTCTGAGCTCAGGGCTCTGGGCCAGCTGCATTCTTTGCAGCCCTGTGGGTGGGCTAGACACCCCCTCCCAGGAGATAAAAGACCCCTCCTCCCGCCAGGCTCCCGCAGTGTGCAGGAAAGGCAGCCGGGAACCACAGAATCAAGTTTGGGCAGCACAGGGCAGCCCCACCCTCCTGCTCTGGCTCTGAGGGCCCCGAGGGCACCTTCTCCGACAAACTGTGCCCTGGGAGGCTGCAGTCCACAGGGATGGGGAATGGGGGTGGCAGGAGAGGCAGGAGAGGCAGGCTGAACCAGGTCCCCCGACAGGAGCCCAGCTCCCTGAGGAATGGCCTCTTCAGGAGCCAGGGGGTCGGCTGCTGGAACGGGGGATGAAAGACAATGGTGGCCAGTTCACCTGCCTATGCCCCCCTGCTGGGAGCCTAGCATCTGCAGGGGCCCCCTCCCCCCTGCAGTGGCCTGGGCGAGCCTGGCCCAGCCCTCCCCCTCCCACCTCCGGACACACAGTAGGCTCAGCAGGGGGAGGGCCGGCAGCTTTCATCGCCTCCCCCCACCCCAGCCACACCCAGGAGCGGCGGGGAGGAAGTCGGGAAAATCCTGCAGGGACTTGGCAAAGTGCCCCGAGGTGGAGGGGAGGGGGCCCAGCGGGGAGCCCGGCGGTGACCCTCGCGGGCCCAGCCAAACGGAGCTGCGGCCCGGCCCGCTCCCGTCTCCCCGCAGGAGGAACGGTCCGGTTTCTGGTCGGGGAGGCAGTTTGAGGGGCCCGATGTGGGGGAGGGGCCTGGGTCCCCGAGCACACCCTGGGGATGGATTGGGGTGCAAAACCCACCGTCCTGCCCCGGGGCTGCGGGGTCCCGCTGAGGAGAGAACCCCAGGCCCCCTCGCGGGGCCGGGGGATGCGGTTCTCCCAGGAGCGGATGAGGCACCTGCCCCTGCCCGGCCGCCCCCACGCGCACCGGAGCTCAGTAACGGCCCCGCCCCCTCCTCACGCCCCCCCACACCGGGGGCCCCGGGGGAGGTGAGAACCTCCTCTCCCGACCACCCCTCCAGCCCCGGGAGAGCCTGACCCAGAGGAACCCCACTCCGCCCGGGCAGAGGGCGCCGTCTCCCCGGCCCCCGGCCCTTCCGGGCAGGTGGGGAGGGGGCACCCTCCGCGGGCGGAGGGCGGCGGTGGCCGGCCCGGCCTGGGCGCCGCTCGCTGGGGCTGCGGTGGAACTTTCCCCGCGGCGCCTGCGAGTTCCCGGGACCCGCGCCCCGCCCGGGGGCTCGGCGGTCGCCAAGGCAGCGGGCGCTGCGGCGTCTGGGCCGGTTCCCACGGCCGGGGCGGGGGTCTCCGCGGCGGCCGGGCCTCGGGTCGGGGCCGGGACCGCGGACCGGAGCCCCCAGCCCGGCTCGGGGGCCCGCGCGGCTCCGGGCCGGCGTGCCGGCGGGGCCCACCTTGCACGAGTAGGTGAGCTGCACCGGGTCCACGTTGAGGATCTCCTCCACGGTGCCCGTGAGCACCACGTTCGCCTCCTCCTCCCGCCGCTCCAGCGCGCGCTCCGGGCACGTCCCGTCGGCGCCGGGCAGGGGGCACGCGGCCGCCACCAGGAGCAGCAGCAGCGGCGGCAGCGGGGCCGGGCCGGACGGCCGCAGGCTGGCCATGGCGGGCCGAGGGCGCGGAAGGCCGGAGCGAGCGCGGGCCGGGCCGCGCCGGGGACCGGACTGGACAGGACGGGACGCAGCTCCCGGGAGGCGGTGGGAGCGCGGCGGCCGGGGGCGGGGCGGGGGCGGGGCCTGGGAGCACCGCCCCCCGCCGCCCGGCGCCCCGCCCCCCGCCGCCCCGCCGCCCGGCGCCCCGGCCGCGCCGGCCCCGCGAACAAAGCGTCGGGGAGGCCGTGCCGGGCCGGGGGCGGCGGGGCCGGGCCGGGGGCGGCGGGGCCGGGCCGGGGGCGGCGGGGCGGGGCCAGGCCAGGCCGGGGAGGGCGGGTCAGGGGGGCGGGGCGGCCGGGGCGCTGGTGCCCCCGCGGACGGACGGCCCTCCCCGGCGCCCCCGCCCGGCACTGCGGCAGGAGCCGGGTTACTGCACAAGCGGGAGGCGACGTGACGGGACTTCCAAGGGGCTCCAGGCCACGCCGGGCCGGGCGGCGGGGGCTCCCCGGCCGCGGGGAGGGGCTGGCAGCTGCCGGGACCCCGCCGTGCTGGAGCCCTGCAGACCGGGGAGCCTGCGGGGGGACCCAGCCCCGGCGGGCCCCGGACGGAAGCTCGGTGGGGCCGGGACCCCCGCGGGCTCGGGAGGGGCGGGCGCTCCATAGGCCACGCCCACCGCGGCCGAGAGCCAATGCGGTCCTGCGCAGCGCCGATTGGTCAAAGCTGATCGCAGACCCGCCTACCTCCCGCTCCTGGGGCCGCTCTGGCCTTTATGCAGGGCGGAGGGCGCCCCCTGCTGTCCAGCGGCGGCAATTGCGGGTCACTGGTTGCGGGGGGGGGGGGAGGCCACGCCCTCTTCCCGCTCCAGAAGGGCGCTGCTCCCGCTCAGTGCAGGGACAAACTGCAATCCAGAACGTCCACATTGGAGCCTGGCCTGGCTGACTGTCGAGGGGAAGGGGAGGGGGTAGGAGAGAAGGCGGTAGGGGAGGGGAGGGGAAAGGGAAGGGGGAGGGGAGGAGGTCCCTTCCCTTCTAACAGGGCTGGATCTGAGCTGCCCCCTCACCAAGCCTGCCACAGAGCTCGGGGCCAGGAGCTAGAAGGGATAGCTGTGCAGAGGCCCCTCTGGAGGATCCTACCTCTCCAGACCCTGTGAGGGTTCAGGAAAGGAGGGTGGCATCAAAGTGTGTGCTTACACTTGCTGACTTGAAGTAGAGGTGAGAGTGGGGCCCAGGAAGTGTGGCTGGAACCTGGAGAGCCCCCCCACCCCCCCACGCATCCGTCCTAGGCAAGGCAGACCTGAGGCTGCTCCCCACCCCTCAGCCCAAATACAGACTCCCACAGTCCGGAGCGGGGACGCTGGGTCTCCAGCCAAATAAATTCCTCCGAAGAATCTGAAAGCTGAGTTCTGAGTGGCCCCAGAATCTCGGATTTTGGCCCAGAGAGGTGTCTGTTCTGTCACATCCATCTTGCCTGTGTCCAAGGCTGGCTCAGCCTGGCTCCTGTGGGCTCATCTGGGAAACGGAGAGCATCTGGTGTGGAAACACCGCAGCCTGTGCCAGGCGGTGCTCCCCAAAGCTCTTGTACAGGCGTCCCCCACTCAGGCACCCTTCCCGCTGGCCACGATGACCTCTCCCCTGAGTGAAACCCCGAAGGCAGGTATATGTGTTTGCTTTGAACAGGCTCCACGTGTTTTCAGGCCCTGTCCACACCCCTTCCAGACCCATGCAGACTGGACAGAGTGGGCTGGTGGGCCCCGAAGGACAGAGAGGCCCGCAGCCCCCTCCCAGCTTACCCAGGCAGGCCCTAGGACTCTCCTCCCCCACCGCTTCCAGGGGTGCTGATCTCAGTGGGGATATCGCCTTGTGGCCTTTGGGTCCTGGCCTGGCCTCCACCATGTTGTGTGTCCCCCCCCCCCCATGCTGTCTGCTGACCCAGGTGTTGGGTGGGGCCAGTTGTGCAGAGCCTGACCGTGCTTAGCCTGGCCCAGGGATGGACACCAGTGAGGCCTTTTTCTTTCCCTAAAAGTTAATTTCCCAAAGGTGTGGGAAAGCACCTTCAGTCTCTCTGCAAGGTGGGGGTATGGGGGAATGTTGTTACTGGTTGATCCTACTCAGCTCTGGGCTGTGGCCGCCCAGAGACCCTGGGTCTGCTTGCCTTCCTCTTCCTCCCCCTCTCCCCCAGGGCTCATCAGCGGAAGCGAGAGTGCCAGGGCAGGTGTGAGGGAAGACGCAGAGGCAGCCAGTAGCTTTGCATCAACGTTTATTATGGGCCCTCCTGGCCGGGGACTGGCTGGTGTGGCTCTCAGCGCTGCCCTCCTGGTCCCTCCGTGCCCCCCCGAAGGCGCAGATTCATCTGCACGGTGCAGTGGGCTGTGAGGCCGTACTCCCCCAGCTGCTTCTCATCGTCCAGGGGCAGCCCCTGGAAATTCAGCCAGAACTGGTGGACACTCGTTTTCTCCCGGTCAGCCACCTGCTGCTTGAGTTCGGCCACCTTCTGCGTCAGCAGGACGTCGTAGGTGCTGGTGTGGCCCCTCTCGTTCCTCACCAGGATGCTCAGGGGCTTGTCGCAGCTCTGCACCACCAGCACAACCTCGCTGCCCGAGCGCAGGCCCTGGTGGGCCAGGGGAACCCCGTCCTGCAGCACTTTAGTGCTTGCCTGGACCACCAGGCGCTGCCGGAAGGCAGGCACTTGCGTCTCCTTGGTGATCAGCTCCTTCAGTTCCGATAACAGCATGGAGTCCCTCATTGGCACCTGGAATTCCTTGCTCAGCATCTTCACCCTCAGGTACCCACCCTGTAGACATCACATGGAGTTCAGAAACCCTGGCACCACTACACACAAGACCTTGTTCGCAGGGCAAGCTCCTAGGGCCCTGGACCCTGCTCCCTCCTGTGTCCTCTCCACCCACCAGGAGAGACCTCAAGTGCAGGAGACAGAAGCACAAGAGGGCATTCCTAGAGGAACAGCCAGCCTTCTGTGACCATCTACTTTGTCTCGCTTCACTAGCTAAGATGTCCCCCAAGGTACCTAGAAGCAGCCACTGGGCAGAACCCACCTTCCAAGACCCAGACCCTGGTGTCAGGAGGAGCCCTGGCGTCAACCTAGGAACCTGGGAGCTTAGAGCTGCTCTGCTTGCCTGGCACAAGGAGGGACAGGGTAAGGGACTGGTACCCAGCCCACCTGCCCAGCCTGTCACCCGCCTCACCATGGCTGTGGGCTCTGATGCCTGGTCCTCCACAGGCCGTGACGACAAGGATGATGATGTGCTCACTCTCTCAGCTCCAGCTCCTTCTCCGGCAGGCGCTGGCAGCTCACCCCTTTTCTAAGCCCGAGCCTCACACGTCAGGGGGTGTGTCTGGGAGCAGCGTACCAGCGACTGATTCAGCTTCAGTTTCAGTTTCCGTTTCCCAAAGGCTAGCCTGGGAGCCAGTGGTGGAAACAGAGCCGGAGCAGAACAGTAAGGAATCCTTGGAGGGACCTCCCACCCACCTGGTGGGACACAATGTGTGTCCCCTCCCCAGGAGTGTGCATTCCAGCCCCCCCCCAAATGGCCTGCACAAAACAACAAAAGCCATAACAACATGAAGTAATGATGGGAAAGTTTCACTTTCCATTTACCAACTTTCGAAAGTAACAAACTTGGAAAATCTTATCACGGTTAATTCAGAAATAACATAAAATAATGATAACCCAAACTACCCAGGGATGGTCACCAATATTTGTTCAGATTTTTTTTTTAAATGAAAGAGATGTATCTTTTATTTTCTACAAAAATGAACTTGTGGACATTATTGACAAAGTGAAAAGACTACCCACAGAAATGGGAGAAAATATTTGCAAATCATGTCAGATAAGGATCTAGTATCCATAATATAAAAAGAAATCTTACAACTCAACAAAAATATTACTCAATTAAAAATTGCATGAATAGCATGTTTCCAAAAGAAATATACAAATGGGCACAGCCTCATGAAAATATGCTCAATATCATTGGGCATTAGGGAAATGCTAAAGCCAGGAGATATGATACACCCCCTAGCATGACTATAAATCATAATCTAAATAATAAAAGTGTAATATACTAATTAGACCAGATGCCCTTCCAGGCAAAGCTGGGACTGTGAGGGAAGCCCTGGTCCCGGGTGCCAGAGGGAAGATGGTGCAGCCAGCTGCCAGCCAGGGGAAGGAAGGCCTATTCTTGCACAAATTTTGTGCTCTGGGCCTCTAGTAATTAATAATAGAACAAGTGTTAATGAGGATGTAGAGAAACTGGAACTTTCACACATTGCTGATGAAATGGCGCAGCCACTATGGAAAAACAGACGTTCCTCAAAGAGTTAATCAGCCCTGATTGGTGTCTGCGTTGGTCAGAGGGGCATCCTGTGCACCAAAGGGTCTGGTTCAACTCCCAGACAGGGCACATACCCAGGTTTTGGTTTGGGGTTTGATCCTGGGTCAGGGTGAGTACTGGTGGCAACCAATCCATGTTCCTTTCTCTCTATCTCCCCCTTTCCCTCTCCATTTCTCTCTCTTTTGAATCAATAAAAAATATACCCTCTAGTGAGGGTTACCACAACAAAAAGTCAAAGAGTAGCAAAAAGAAAATGTTTTGAATATTGATTTTTTACAGAGAGGAAGAGATTTAGAAATATCGATGAGAGAGAAACACTGATCAGCTGCCTCCTGCACATCCCCACAGGGGATGTGCCCGCAACCAACGTACATGCCCTTGACCGGAATCGAACCTGGGACCTTTCAGTCCGTAGGCCGACGCTCTATCCACTGAGCCAAACGGGTTTCGGCTCTTTTTTTTTCTTTATTGAATAAGGTATGACATATGTGTCCTTATCACCTCATTGCCCCCCCAAATTCATTCCCTGCTGTGACATACGGGTACTTTTAGTTCCTTTGTCCCATGTGACCTAATATCTTCCTGCTTTCATCAGGAAGAACTGAAAACCACAGAGGCAGCGTGACAGAACCTGTGGGAGCACATGTTCAAATCACCACAAACCCGTGGCTAAAAAAACAACAGAAATGTACGCCCTCATAGTGCTGCAGGCCAGAGGGCTGAAATCAGGGGGACTAAATGACCATGATTAAAAATAATCTGATTGTATGTGGTTTACAGAAGCCAAGAATCATCTGAGATATAAAGATACAGGAAATTTAAAAGGGGATGAAAAGAGACATGGCATACAAATATTAGCTAACAGGAATTTAGCTGGCAGGGCTCAGTGAGTGAGTGTTGACCTATGAACCAGGAGGTCACCATTTGAGTCAGTCAGGGCACATGGCCAGGTTGCAGACACGATCCCCACTGTGGGATGTACAGGAGGCAGCCGATCAATGATTCTCTCTCATCATGGATGTTTCTCCCTCTCCCTCTCCCTTCCTCTCTGAAATCAATAAGAAGACATTAAATAAAAAAAAATATATTAGGTTGCACCTAACAACTTGGCCACAAAATAGTTAAGTTCTGGTCCCGAGCCTTAATATTTTATTTACAAAATCATAACAGTCTCTTATAAAGGGGCCTTTGGCTAATTTGGGGCTTTTTTACAAATAAACTTAAACTTCCTTAAACCTTTAAAACAGCATAGGTAATTATTCATATTTATATATATATATATTTTATTGATTTTTTTACAGAGAGGAAGAGAGAGGGATAGAGAGTTAGAAACATCAATGAGAGAGAATCATCGATCAGCTGCCTCTTGCACACCCCCTACTGGGGATGTGCCCACAACCAAGGTACATGCCCTTGACCGGAATTGAACCCGGGACCTTTCAGTCTGCAGGCTGACGCTCTAGCCACTGAGCCAAACCGGTTTTGGCAACTTTTCATATACTTGACTAGAGGCCTGGTGCATGAATTTGTGCACAGGAGGAGTCCCTCGGCCTGGATCAGGCCAGCAGGGGAAGGGAGGGGACTGTGGGAGGGTGGTGGGCCTTGGGACGTTGGCTGTGGGAGTGCACTGACCACCAGGGTCAGCTCTGCATTGAGCATCTGCCCCCTGGTGGTCAGTACGCCTCACAGCAACTGGTTGACCAGTCCTTTGGTAGTTCAGTTGCTTAGGCTTTTATATATATATATATATATATATATATATATATATATATATATATATATATATAGTATGTTGAAGACTTGCACATATATAACAACAGCAGCGACCAAACACCTTCCCAAGTACTTCTCAGTCCTTGCCACTGACCCCTGCACACTTGGCCCAGGGCACCATCTCCTCTCACCTGGGCTACTGCAGGTACAGTGGTCCTGCTCCTGTCCCTCCAGAGAGATAAGTTGGCCGCACACAGGAACACTGGCCATTCGGGCTCCTCATTTCCTTCCCTCTGGCACTTGGCTCGCTCTTGCCCCAGTTCCTGGCACTGCCTATCCCTCTGTCTGGAATGTCCCCTGCACCTCACCCCACCCCCAAGATGCAGATGGCTCACTTCCTGCACCTCCTTCCAGTCACAGGCCTGAAGAGACCCTGGTGGGAGGCCTCCCTTCCTCTCTGGAAAGGGTCTAGGCAGCACCTCCCTGCCTCAGTCTCCCCCTGTCCCATTCTCTTGTCTGCCTCCTGGGCACTAACAGCTATGGCTGACATATGTCCAGTTCTATGTTCTGGGTGCTATCAAAGTAGGATCTCAGTCGTCTTCCTAATGACCCCTGGAAAAATAGAAAGATAACCTATTGCACAGGAGAGGAAACAGGTTAGGGTTCGGGTTCGGGTTCGGGTTAGGCCCATGAGCCCAGCTGACAACTCTAGGGAAAGAAAGCTCAAGAAGAGGGCTCTCAGGACAGTCTTTTCTGTCTGGACATCTGCCTATCTTGTCTCTGTGGGCGGCTGCGGTGGTCCAGAGCCCCCTAGACTGGTCCCAGCGCCCCCCCTCCAGGAAGTGCGGGTCCCCAGCTTCTCCCCGAGACGTGAAGGAGAAGGTCCAGGCGGCCCCTGGGGGTGGAGTGGGGGCTCCAGGTCTGGGAGACCTCCTTGCCAGGAGGATTAGTCTGAGCAGGCCCTGGACCCATCAGTGCTGCCAGGAGGTTCTTGGTGGGCAGGGTCCCCCCGCGGATCTGTCTGTCCCCCGCGTCTTCCCGGAGCCCTACCTGGCTCCACTGGCTCCTCTGGGGCAGTAGAAGGTGGAGGTGGGGACAGCCTCACCTTGGTGAGCAGCAGCCGGGCCAGTCGGGAGGCCCGCACCCCGTGTAAACACGTGTGTCGCAAGGAGGATCTGAGCGCCTCCCCCCACACCTGGCGCCCCAGACTGAGCTGCGAGGGGCCGGCTTGGCTCCGGGGATACTAGAGGGATTCTGGAGGCGGAGGCAAGCGGGACTTTGCTTTGCAGGCCTGACAGATCCCGGGCGGGTGCTGGGGCAGGACCTCCGTGGACACCACCACTGGGTCGGCTCCCAGCAGGAGAGGGGACCCTTCGGCGTAGATAGTCGGCTCTCTCTGGATCAGAAAAGCCCCTTGAGGCCCCCCTCCCCTCTGGAGCCCCTCCATGCAGCCTAGCAGCCTTTTTTTTTTTAAAACATATTTTATTGATTCTTTACAGAGAAGAAGAGAGAGGGATAGTTAGAAATATCGATGAGAGACTATCATCAATCAGCTGCCTCTTGCACACTCCCTGCCGGGGATGTGCCCACAACCAAGGTACATGCCCTTGACCGGAATCGAACCTGGGATCTTTCAGTCTGAGCCAAACCGGTTTCGGCCAGCCTAGCAGTCTTGCATGCCGCCTACTTCCCCAAAGACCCCGGACCACCCAGCGGAAGAGGGGCTTCTGCTCTCCCAGCAGCCTGGGCCCCCATGTCTGTCTGTCTCTTACAGGGAGCATGATTCTGGCCGGCCACCTGCCTCCCACCGGTTAGAAGTCCCAAGGCCAGGCCGGCTTGTGGGCCTTGGAAAACATGGGGAACAGGCCCGAGACCCCGAGGACTCAAGACTAGAGCGCTCCTGCCACACAGTTCAAAATGAAAACAACGTCAGACACGGAATCAGGCCTAGCCCAGCCCTGGCCAGTTGGGCTCGGGGGATAGACAGAGCGACGGCCTGCAGACTGAAGGGTCCGGAGGTTCGGTTGCGGTGGTGCCCTGGGTTGCAGGCTGGATCCCAGGTATGGAACCTGCAGGAGGCAGCAGATGCACGATTCTCTCTCATCATTGATACTTTTGCGTCTCTCTTCCTCTATTTTTAGAAATAGAGGAAGTATCTCATCATTGATACTTCTGTGTCTCTCTTCCTCTATTTTTAGAAAAGAAAGTAAGCATAGTCCTGCTTTCCTCACTTTGCCTCTTTAAAATAAACAAAACCTTAGCTATTGTCCCTCCACGTTGCTGGTGGGGCTGACCCTGACATCACCAGCCCCATGAGTCACCCCATTGGCTCGCGTCACCCCTACCTTTACCCTGAGACAATCATCTCTGATTATCTGGGACCTCGCAGCCTCACCTGCCAGGTTTACCGTCTGTCTGATGACGTCATCCTACCTGCCCTCACCTGGCCAGGTTTACGTCTGTCTGATGACTTCATCCTACCTGCCGGCCTCACCCTCACTGGGCTTGTGCCATCATTTATTGTGCTGGGACCCACCCTGACTGCTATGACCTTTGCCAGCGCCCTCCCTCCTGCCAGGGGCTGGGTCCCACGCCCACGGGTCACGGGCCATTGGTGGGCGCTGCAGGCGGCGGCATTCAGGGCGATGCCCGGCTGTGCGGAGGCTCCTGCCCGGCGGGACCGGGATGGCAGAGCAGGAAGGGGGTGCTGGTCGAGGTGCGTCCGCCCCCCGGACTCGGTTCCCCTCGAGGAATTCCCTTTCAGACTTCCCGCTCGGGGGAGGGTGGGCCTCGCGACTCCGCCCGGGTCCCCAGCCGGGCGCCCGGGGGGCCTCCCGCCCGAGCGCCGCTCGAGGGGGCGGCACCGCGGTTTCCCGCTCGGCCCGGAGGCGGGGCCGGGGGCGGGGCCGGGCGCCGGGGAGGCCCAGCTCCCTCCCCTTTGTCCCCGCGGCGGCCCGGGGCCCACGGTGACTGACGGTTGCCACGGCGGCGAGGGCGGGGCCCACGGTGACGGTTGCTGCGGCCGGCGGGGGCGGGGCCCACGGTGACTGACGGTTGCCGGGGCGGCGGGGGCGGGGCCCACGGTGACTGACGGTTGCCGGGGCGGCGGGGGCGGGGCCGGCGGGGGCGGGGCGGCCGCTCATTGGCGGCGCGAGTGTGGGAAAGAGCGCGGAGCGGGGTTCACACGCCGCGGGGGGCGCTTCCTGAAATAGCGGGAAGCGGCCGCAGGACAGGACCAGGGCGCCATGCCCGCCGGCCCCGGGGCGCGCGGCTCGCCATGCCGGCGGACACGCCGGGGCGGCCGGGGACCTCGCCGCGGGCAGCCGCGCTCGCCAGCGCCAGCCGAACCCCAAGCCGGCTCCGGGCTGCGGCCGCGCACCGGAAGGTGGGGCCGGGTCGGGCCTGGGCGGGAGGCGCCGGGGGGGACGGGGGGACACGGGACTCAGCCACGGCCCACGGCCCGCCTGCAGCCCTCCAAGCCGGTCACGGAGAAGCGGCGCCGAGCGCGAATCAACGAGAGCCTCGCCCAGCTCAAGGCCCTGCTCCTGGACGCGCTCAGGAAGGAGGTGAGTCGGGAGGAGCGAGATGGGGTCCGAGGCGCGGACCCGAGTCGGGCACTGCGGGTGCAGCCGTTCACGCCGGCCCCGCCCCCAGAGCGCCCGCCACTCGAAGCTGGAGAAGGCGGACATCCTGGAGCTGACGTGAGGCGCCTGCGGAGCCTGCGGCGCGGGCCGGCGGCAGGTGAGCCGCGGTGGGAGACGGAGGGGCGCTGCGCGGGGCCGCCCGGCGAGCCACCGCCCGTCCCGCTGCCTCCAGCCGCGCCGCGCGCCGCCGCCGCCGCCCTGAGCAGGTACCGCGCCGGCTTCAGCGAGGGCCTGGCCGAGGTGCACCGCTTCCTGGCCGCCTGCGAGGACATCCCGGCCGACGTGCGCTCCCGCCTGCTCGGCCACCTGGCGGCCTGCCTGGGCCACATGGGGCCGCCCAGCCGCTCCGCGCGCCCGGCCCCCGCTACGGAGGGCCCCACGCCAGAGGTCTCCGTGGGCCACCCGCCGCTGCCCGGCTTCGATGGCCCCTTCGCCCCGCTGCGCCCCGAACCCGCCTTGGCGCCGCCGCTCCTGCCGGGCCTGACCCGTGCGCCCCGCGCCGCCCCCTCGGCGGGGCTGCAGGGCCGCAGTGCGCCCTGAAGGCCGTGGCTGCGGTGAGCGTCCCGTCCGGAGCCGCGGCTGTGCTGAGGCTGTAACGAGGATATTTCTCTCCAGCGGCTGCAGTGAGAGTTTCGTGTTTGTTCTGTCTTTTCTGGGAGGATCTAGTCTGGCAGCGCGTGTGGCACCAGCGCTGAGCGGCCGAGCTCCGTGCGGGCCCCGCCCCCTTCCCGGGCCCCGCCCCCTTCCCGGGCCCCGCCCCTCCCACAGGCCCCGCCCTCCTGACGGTGCGCCCCGGGGCCTCTCGGGCCCGCACTTGTGTGGGAGCCAGCGATCCGTCTTGGAGTGGGAGAGGGGTGTGCAGTCTGCAGGAGGCTCAGGCTGAAGGGGACAGTCATCACGTTTTCCAGAACACGCCCCAGTGTTGGGAAGCGCCAGTCCAGTCACTGGCCAATATTTTTAAGGTGCCTGGTCCACCTCTGCTTTGTTCTCACGTTTACCGTCTGTCCCCGCCGTGAACCGCGCCCCAGGCCAGTCTCCCCAGCAGTGGGGACCAGCTGGAGAGGGCATCTGAGTGTCCCGGGCAGGCAACTAACTGCAGCGAGGCTGGCACAAGCACTTAGTCCGGGGCTCAGGGAGTGCGCTCCCACCAAAGTCCTATCCTGCTGTGTGCCTGGCCTTGCCCTGGGACCACCCCACCACACACACACACACACACACTCACACACACTCACACACACACACACACACACACACACACACACACACACACACACACACAGTGAGAAAGGACTGGGGGGTTCATCCTGAGTAAGCATCCATCCTGAGCAAAAGCGTGCGTCAGCCGCAATACAAGACTGCGACGTTAGGTGGCGTTGGACACTGGGCCAGGAGTCTGCTGGGGCCTGAGCTCCATGTGCCATGAGGGGGTGGTCCCAGGTACTTAGCCAGGACTGGAAACGCCTGAGGTGGAGCCAAGGTTCATTTCAGATGGTTGCCTGCCTGCCTGCCTGCCCGGCCAGGGCCTATCCAGGAGGAGGGTGAGTCACTGTCTGAGGCTGGCCTGCCCCTCTTTCAAGGCTCCCACATCGGTGCCCCCCTGGCGGGGAACCTTCTAGTCCCCACCAGGCCAGTCCTCCCTGCTCTCTGGCTGCCTTGCCCTCCTGTCCCTGAGAGTCAGGGCCTGGGTCAGTGGCTTGGGATGGTGGCAGTGGCGTGGACACACACTCAGTAGGCCTGGGAGGCCCTCCTGAGTAGGGGGGTTGCAGAGGGTCTGTACTGGAGAGGGGAGCTCAGGAAGGGAAGGCCTGGGGTATGGGGTGTGCAGCCTCAGTGGGTAGGCGGAAAGTCAGGGCCTGCTCAGAGCTGAGCTCGTCACTTGGAACCACTCAGTCCACACTGACTTAATCGGTTAATTTGCATGAAAGCTGAAGTTAGGAGGTTTGGGGAAGGTAGTCATCCTCGTTTGGTTAGGAAGGTCTGAGAGCAGACTGAGCTGAGGCGGCCCCATGGTGAGGGCCTGGGGGGAGGGCAGCACCAAGGCTGTCCCAGGCCCTCCTCAGGCTGTCCCTTTCTGACAACTGAGGGCAGCTGGCTCTCTGGAACAACACCCTGGACTCCAGCTGTGGAAGGAAGCACTCCCCTCGCCTCCACCAGCCTGGACACCTGCCGAGGCCAGTGGAGACTGCAGCCAATGCCGTGGTGGGAGCTGGAGCCCAAACCATGGAGTGCTGCCCCTACCCGGGTCTGTCCCACCGGCTATTTTTATCTTGGTTTTTGTTTTGCAGACACTTCCTGCCAAGTAGTGGTGAAACACCTTCCCAGGTCTGGCATGTGGAGGGGCAGGGAGGGGCCAGCACTCCCTCCTGGGAGCGGGTATGTGCCTTAGTCACTCCCCTCCATGGCAGGCAGCATCTTGTTCTCCAGGGTCTTTGGCCTCCTTCCAGCGGGTTCCTGCAAGGGCCGTGGGTCAGTAAATGTTTGCTGCGTTAATATGCGCTGTCAGCCGATCTGCCTGCTCTGGTGCTGGAGCCTGTCAGTCCCTTTCCGTATGTCTGTCTGCCTGTAGGGCCAGGGCTTGGGGACCAGACAGTGACAGCAAATCATAGGTGTGAGCTCAGGAGAAAGAACCAGCCCAGGAGATTTTATTTTTTTAAAAAATATATATTTTATTGATTTTTTTACAGAGAGAAAGAAAGAGGGATAGAGAGTTAGAAACATCGATGAGAGAGAATCATCGATCAGCTGCCTCTTGCACACCCCCCACTGGGGATGTGCCACAACCAAGGTACATGCCCTTGACCAGAATCGAACCCGGGACCTTTTAGTCCGCAGGCCGAAGCTCTATCCACTGAGCCAAACCGGTTTCAGCAAGCCCAGGAGATTTTCGATGGGGGACAGGCTGGAGCAACCCCCACTGTGGTGCCGATTCTCTTCAGGCACCAGCAACTTCCTTCTGTGGGGACATTTGCTCCCCAAAGCTGGGCTGGGCTGTCCATCTCTGCCCCCGGGAGCCCTAGGGGTTCACCCTCCTGGGATGCACTCTTGTTGGGAAAGAATCCGCCCTGGGCTTGCAGTCTCCCCGAGGCCCCCAGTGACCTCCTCCTGGTATTCAGCTCCCGCAGAAGTGACGGACTGTCTCTTCAAGATAAGGTTGCAAGTGCTGCCTGCTCTCTGTCTGTCTGTCTGACTGTCAGTGTTCACTCGGGAGAACAGCTGTGCTTTGCTGTGAAGAAGGCAACCCAGAGTGGCCTCGAGACCTGACAGTCAGCTCATGGCAGGTCCTCTGGCACCAGCCAGCCCTCAGACAAACCCCAGTTGCAGCGACAGTCAGGGCTGCTCCTGGGAGTCCCTGAGCCAGAATCCCGGAGCCCCTACTGGACTCCTGTTCTTCAGACACTGAATGGAGAATGAATGCTGGTCATTAATAATTTAGGTTAATCTGTTATGCTAAATTGGTAACAAGAAATTTTATATAAAATCCAAGATAAATGTAAATAATGATAGCAATAAACACATGCCCATGGCCAGCCAGGATGACGCCTGCTGAGCTCTTGCAAGGATGGAACTGTGGGGGAGGACTGGAGTGGGAGTGAGAATAGACACAGCCCTGCAGCTCAGCTGAGGAGCAGTGGGGCTTGGCCTGACTTTGCTCTGGAAGCAGGTTCGAAGTGAGCCTCAATGGTGGATGCAGCCCCTGCCATGTGGGTGCTGAGCAGCCACAGCTCATGCCACCCCTGTGTGTCCAGGCAGGACTGGGGGCATTTCTGTGGCAGTAACTGGTGGAGCACCCTCAATTGGAACAGGGCTTGAGGGTGCACAGGCCTCAGGCGTCAAATAAAGACAGCACAGCCACAAACATGTCCACACCACAAAGACCCTTCTGCAGCCTGGTAGCCAGGGTTACCAACTCAACTCAATAATAATAAAAAAGATTTTAAAAACTCAACTTAAAAATGCATGAAGAATCTGAATAGACAGTAAGCACATGAAAAGGTGCTCAGCATCATTGTCCATCGGGGAAATTTAAATCAAAACCACAAAGAGATGCCGCTTCACACTAAGATTGCTATAATTAAAGAGACAGTAATAAATGTTAGGAGCTTGTGGAGAAATTGAAACATGTTTTTGATAAGAATGTAGAATGAGACTGACCAGTGTGGCTCAGTGCTTGAACATCAACTATGAACCAGGAGGTCATGGTTTGATTCCTGGTCTGGGCACATGCTTGGGTTGTGGGCTTAGTCCCCAGTGTGGGGCATGCTAGGTGATTCTCATCATTGATGTCTCTCTCCCTCTCCCTTCCTTTCTGAAATCAATTAAAAATTTTTTTTTTAAGTATAATGGTGCAGCCACTTAATTTTTTAAAATAAATATTGTTGAAAGAATTATATATGTCCCTCCCCCCACCTCCTTCTGCCTGCCCCCACCCACCCCAGGCCTTCACCACCCTATTGTCTGTGTCCATGGGTTAGGTGCAGCCACTTTAGAAAAAGTCTGGAAGTTCCTAAAAGATTAACTGTAGGGTTACCATGTGCCCCAGAAATTCCATTCCTGGGCCTGGACTCACAATAAATGAAAACAAATGTGCACAGAAAAGCATGTGCAGTGTTTTATATAATAAAAGCTTAATGTGCAGATGGACCGGAATGACTGGTCACTATGACATGCACTGACCACCAGGAGGCAGACACTCAATGCAGGAGCTGACAAAGCAACACTCAGCTTCCCCCAAGTGGGACACAGGCCCCACCACCATCCCAGAGTAACTATCCACCAAATAGCATCCAACACCATGGTGCAAAATTATTAAAAAGGTCAACTATTGCTACAATGTAGCTGTGAAGCTGAAGCCAGTGTCATTGACAGAATGTATCTGAAGACCAACTATTGGCACAACCTACCTCTGAAGCTGAAAGAAAGCGACATCTTAGAATATGTCTGAAGAACAGTCCTTGACAAGTACTACCAATACTGGTAGGAAGTGCCTTCATAGCGAAAATGAGGTAAATGAGGGTGCAATTATCAAACACATTGTGGTGGAATGACTGTCACAGGTCAATGTTGCCTATCCCTAAATTCTCCAGTGAAAAACCATCTGATGAAAAATTTACTCAATGTTGTAGCAAAGGCAAAGTTTGTCCAAATGACATAAATTTTCCAGAATACTGATATATTTAAAAAAATTAATGATAAAGATTCTGACAGTAAAATTTTAATGGAAAATATTTGTTGTTATATCATGTTATTGTTTTTTATTAATCAATTTATATTTATTTTCATGTACATTTTACTAATTTCATCTCTTGATACTGCTATTATAGAGAAAGGATGAATAGCAATATTAAAATATTTCTTCTAATTAATTTTCTGTCAATGTGCATGAATTCATGCACTGGGCCACTGGTTATTCACAATAGCCAAGAAGTCAACATAATCCAAATGTCTGTCATCTGACAAACTGAATGGATAAATAAGTGTGTATAGCCATGCAAATGAATGTTATTTGACAATAAAAAGGTATGAAGTACTGAAACATGCTA